TTATTCCAAAATATTTTATTCCTTTTGATGTTAGTGAGAATGGAAATTCTTTTCTGAATTTCCTTTCACATTGTTGATTGTTACTGTATAGTCTAAAGAATGATCTAGAAAGAGTGAAGGGCACAGGCAAAAGCTCGTGGTTTTCGAGCAGAAACATATTCCCTGTCCTGGGTTTTTGATTTTCCCTCTCCCTTAGCAAAGGGCAGATGGCTCTTCCCTGATAGCCAGATAGACTTCACTGAAAAACATATTGCCAGTGCTCCAGGGATCCACTTACTAGGGACTATGATCCTCTTGATTATGAGATTTGTTCCACCAGTGACTGAGTTATGCATGAAACAGACATAGACCCCTCTCTATGTTTTAGTGGTTTGGAGGATAAAGAACACTTGTGCTGATTGCTGGAACTTCCCATCAATCAGCCAAGAATGCTCTGTCAGTGGGTGAGAGTCTGTGAGGCAGGAGAGCTTGGGGAGTTCCCCTGGATGGTAATAGGTGTATGAAGAAGAAATGGTGGGGGCGTCCAGGCCATGTGGAGCAAAGAGAATAAAATCACAGCTGATGTTGTCAGAGGGAAGGGAAAATCCTGGTCTGTGGAAGGGCCACGGTGACCCTGTGAGCTAAGTCACAACACTGAAGTCCCAGCCAAATCCCTGCTGTGTTCACTGATCAGGAGCCTGAGACATTCACCTACTTCTCCCATCATAAGCTTTGGTCCCTGAGTCTCCCATGACAGGAGCAGCCTCTTCTCTCCCATTGGTGATCAAGCCTGAGCCTACTCTTAGGACTCATGGCCAGCTTTGATGTCTGGGGAGAAGGGTCTCTGTACTTGTACCTGGGAAGGACTGGGAGGCCTGGCCTCTGGCCATCTGTATTTGGGATGGCAGCCTGGCTCACAGAGGAACAGAAGATACTCACAGAGGAGATTCAAGGTGACTGGATCACTGTGGCTGGAACTCCGTGGGTTCTTCATCTCACATTCATAGGGTCCTGCAGTATCCTTTGTGACACCAAATAGAACGAGGGTCCTGTTGTTTTTGGACAGCTGCAACTTGTGACTGATAGGGAGGCTCTGACCATTTATCCGCCACAGGTAGCTTACGTCCTGAGTGTCAGGATCACAGGATAAGATCACAGCCTCCTTACCCTCCCTGGGGTTTAAGTTGCTGCTGGAGATGTAGGGCTTGGGAGTCTCCACTGTGCAGATAACAGAGAGAAGATTGTCCTGTGTGGCACCTTTGATTCCTCCAAACACATTTTTCAATCAGAGATGGCATTTCCCACTTCAGCCCACCCAAGTCCTTAAAAATCCATGGCAGATGTGTGTGTTACAAGACAGATGCATGGCAATCTGAGGGCTCAGAGATTGTGAGGCTGCCTTCTGTATGTGGGAGAAGCACAGACTTTCTCAAGTGTGAATTGAGCAGCAGCATTGCATCATGGAAAAACATGGGTCCAGCAGTCAGAGCCCCTGGTGCCTCTCTGAGTCCCTCCCTCTCCAACTGCCTGCCTGGCCCACCTTGTGATCCTCACCAGGAGCATGCAGTGCTAGAATCTTCTTAGTTTCAATCTTACTTTGCTCCCAAGGTATGTTTTCCCTGCAGCTTCCCTTTCCAAGGGCATCCTAGAGATGGATGATGGAACTTCCCATTGTTCTTAAACCCTTTGGGTAGTGGGAAAACTGGCCTGGGACTGGGTACTTCAGCAGAAATAACACAGGGGAGACCAGAGTCAAGCCTGGAGGTCAATTTAGTCATCAGGGAGTGGAGCTACAAGTTGGGGCAGTTTTCCCAGCTGTCTCTTAGTGACTGACTTGAGCCAGCGACCTCTAAAGATAGAGCAGAGTCCAAGGAATGAGCTACAAAGAGTGAAGGGGACAGGCAAGAGCTGATAGCTTTGGACCAAGACCATGTTCCCTGTCCCGTGTCCATGCCCTCACCTGCCCTTCCCCCTGTAAAGGGCAGGTAAGGACCGTGTGGATCTTTCTAGAAATACATGTGGATTTTTGCAAATGCAGAACTGACTGGTGGAAAAGCCGAGCATGAACTGATGATGGAAGTCTGGCCCTCATGGACCGTTTGTGTTTGGTGGCTATTAGACTAATATTTGGGAAGAAGTCTTGCAGATACTTTCTGTCATAGACATTCTACTCTCTGATTCTGTGAATTTGACTACTCTATGTACCTCATCTCAGTGGATTCCAGAGTAAATCAGAGAG